ACCTTGACATAACAATTGCAAAATGGCCAGTACTATCACCATCCTTTTTAGTACAGGGAGATAAGTTAGTTGCAATGTGTTAATTTATGAATTTTACATAACGTGTACAACATATTGATAAATGCGCTCTAGAAAAGAGAAATTTCCAATCATCATCAGGTTTTTTGCAAAACATATCAGACTGAGCATGTCTGAACATATTGCAAATCTTTTCATTCCATTTTTTTGTTCCCAAATTACTTAAAAGCATATTTCAAAAACTGGCATTTTTCAAGTGCAACAGCATAACGTAGATTTTATGCCAATTTCTGGTCTTAAATTGGCCATAGCATAAGTTTTAAACATCTTAACACCAAATCTCTTCCTGATTGTCTGGAAAATAACTGTACTAGTACAACAAGTTTGATAAATGTCAACAGAATGCGATAAATACAGAGTAAGAATGACATAACGATGCACGATGCCATTGGCGCACCCTGATCTCGGAATAGCCGCAAGGACCAGCAGGCTGTGGAACTCCTTTACCAGCCTCGGTCTTCCTTGACAGTCCCAATATGACTAAGTTCAAGACTGCTGTAAACAGTTTCTTGTTGAACTCTAAGAGATTTTCTAATTTATGACAATTAATTATGTACCATGCAATTATGTATTATGTATAATGTATCTGATAATTTTGGGATCGAATGTTCTGTGCACTTAAGCGAGGGGAATTGATGTGACATCATATTGAACCGAAAATCATTGATATACGATGTTAAGACCAGGTTCACTTTGCACTGATTAGAAAAAAAAAGATATTCAACAAGAAGCGTACAAATCCCCCAGATTTACTTCTCCATGCAGCTGACTAATTTGCATCATCCCTGTCCTGACTTCTCCAACTTGTTTTCATGCAATGATAATTTTATCCGTGAGTGGGTGATTTTTTTTAGGGGGGGGGGGGCGTATGGAGGATGCAATTTCTCCTGCAATCTTGATGCTGATTCATTGGTTTACAGAGTAATAAAGAAAGGCATGTCCAAAAAAGGATTATGTTTTTATGAAGCAATGCGTCATTGAGAAGCAATGCGTCATTGAGCAGCAATGTGTCATTGAGAAGAAAAGGACACTAAATTTGGTATAAAGCAATGTGAAATAGAAATATCTTTGAACACAAAATTGGTTTATTTAATCAAAATGCCAAGAGGAGGACCTGACTATCTACCTATCATTAAACTCACTTACTGTGGCCTAAGTACAGCATCAATATTTGCTATAGGCAGGCCATCTTCTAGCGTGGTAATTGCCTCAGCTATATTGAATCTAAATGCAATACACAGAAACAATTTCCTTCACATGTTATACTTTTAATACACAAAGACTTGAAGTACATTTTCGTCAGAGGAGAACACCGTCATGTCACAGCAGGTGGTTGGGGAAAGCGATATCTGCGGAGTAACTTCTATAACGTTATATGACCAAACTAAAGTGCAACTGAGGAGTAAGACACTCGTGTAGGCCCTACAGCTACCTGTTTGAAATGTTTGTCGCTAATTAGTTATATACGTTCCAATGATAGTTTTTATGAAGTTGACATAATACTTATATATACTTGACATATCTCACTCTCACTATCAGGACTACAAATTTCATTGTTAAAAAATGTTTGTCTCCATAACCCTTTACCAGTCAAACAATGAAAAAAACAAACACCCCGAAACAAATGTTAATGCCACTAACATCGGCCCTACAACTACGGGGCAAGACTATGATTTTTCAGAGATCTTCCTTTCATTAATATTCTTCAATTTTTGCCCTGATTCATCTTCTAAGCTTGGCCATTTCAGAAACTCGTGGGCTTCTTCACCTGCTTTCTTGAGGTCAGGCATCTAGATCTTTTTCTCGGATAAACTGCATTGTTTCCTGGAGGTCATTCAGGAAGCGGCTCTCTCGTGCCTTCAACCCGGTCTTGCTTGCTTCCCCTTCGCGGGCGACTTGCTTCTTGTAGCCGACGGTCTCTTGCAGATCGGACAAGACGCTCTCCCTCCGGTCTTGAGCTTCCTTCCTTACGTCCCAAGCTTCAAGGGTCTCCCGAAACTCGCGTACGGCCAGTGCGGCTTTCAGCCCTTTATCGTGCATTGGGCTATCCAGGGGGCCGCCGCGCTTTACAAGAGAATACAAATTCGCAAGATCGGACAGGAACTCTCCTCTCGCGAGCTCGTTGTTTTGCGGATCAGCTGTAAAGAAATCACAAACATATCAGTTCGCTGTTGCCGTCGCTAAAGATGCCTTTAAAAGGAAAAAAAGGTTAGAATTAGAGTCAGGATCCTCATCATCAAAATGATAAAAATCGTTTTTTTAGCCAAAATTCTGATTATTTGCTGAGCAATTATGGTGCCGACTTGTTCTGGGCTTGGTGCTGAGTTGTCTTGGCATTGCGGGGAATACATGCGGGCAGCTATATGAGCTTGCCGGATTTTAGTCAATCTGTGATGAAACTTTGCAACATAACATTTTGTTCATTTCCTATTCATAACAATTTATTTTTTAAAGAAAATAACACCTGCTTCTAGACTATGATGCATGAGTTCGTAAGCCTGTTGCACATGAGGAATGACGTCCAAGGCTCGTGTCTTCAGAGACAGGGTCATGGTCGGACTTCTCGGCTGGATTTTTAGTTTTGGCAGAACCTAGTCTGGTAACAAGACCCCCGTGAGTCAGCGCTATTTTTCGGCGCTGGTAGCGTCACGGGCCGCCAAACAAGGACCCAATTACGGCACGCCGGAGGTAGCTTTATGCAGGAAAACCAGTAAGTTGGATAGGTCCGTGGGTATAGATCGGCTCACTGTGCCTAGTAATTATCCGGGGAAGAAAATTCACCCCCTAAGGTTTGGTACCCAGGCTAGCCAGAACCCAAGTCACAAACAATACATTTCTTAAACTTCAGTTCCCATTTAAACAGCCTGCATAGTTTAATACACTTTGCAGATTAGGATATACTAGTAAGCATACCGGCATCTCGCTTCACTCGGGGGTTTCCCTGAACCACGGCTATGGTCAGGACCAGGCACAGAGGTAGGCAGCTTTCATCTTCACAACTCAACTTGTAACGTGCTGTGTAGCTATAGGGAAAAAACAAAAACAAACAGCAAACATGAACGTTTGCGTCAAGCCACAATACCTCGGGAAGCTGAGAAAAGACTTTGTGATTGTTCCACACGAATGAGCAGGGCGAGTGCAGAGAAGATTTTTTTACAGGGAAGTACAGAGAAGAATTTCTTTACAAAGAAAGCCAGCTTTCTGGACATACAGCGCCCTACTTCGCCTAGAATCATGTGGACCAAACTAGTTTCCCAATTTCTATATACGGAAATAGCAATATAAAATAGACACTTCTTACCCTCAAAAATGAAGACACCTGTTCCTTCTGACTCTTCAGAGTTCAGACAAACTGGGCGGACAGACACCTGCGCGAAGAACTAGTTTCATAATTAGAATCGTCCAAGTTAAGAAGGAGGGGGATGAACAGCCTCTTTTTTCAAAATGGGTAAACCAACTTCAATTCCAAACATCCAAAATCGGTATACACAGGTACAATAGGTATCCAGATAGCATAGCAGTCCACATAGCATTATTTTGTTTTTGTTCTATAATTAATGGCTTACATGTTGTAATCTGTAGTTCTTCTTGCTCCCCTTACAAAATTGGTACATGCCTGAGATAACAGGTCTGTCAACTCTGGTACTTTGCATGCTAATTATCACATAGCTATAGCTCTAGACAACTACCTTTTATCATGTAGATTTTAGTATTTTAAACTACGTTTCATTGTTCTTCTATGTTTGTAATCTGCAATTAGCCCACCGGGCATGAATTTGCAATAAACTTCTTATTATCGAAATTGACTTCTGTAATTATCTTCATTCTGTGTTAAAAAACGCGGTTTAAACCACCTGTAAGTTTGACAGACGTCCACATTAACGTTCATTGA